ATTACACCAGCATTGGCCTTTGCATGACTGTCACTGATGTGGTGAGTCCTTTGGATCAGATGATTTAGTATTGAATTGCACAGTGCATTTCATTGCTTTAAATGTGATGTGGAACACTTCTCTCTTCTAGATTACATCCATTGCTTCTGCTGGAAATTCTAGGCTCCCCCCGCCAAAAAAGATGAATTGCTGAGTGCTAATTCAAATTGGTGGTGGCCATGCGCAAACTACTGGAAAATACTTATCTGCAGTTAAGTTCCATGTGGTTGACATGCATTTAAAAGGGTCTTAGTCCATGTACCATTCTTTTGTATGTGTAAAATCCACATCCCATCAAGGTATTCCTACCTTTAGTAGTGTTTCTGCTCCTGTAAAATGTGTATAAGGTATGTGTGTAGGTGTGTGTGTGTGTGTGTGTGTGTGTGTGTGTGTGAGAGAGAGAGAGAGAGAGAGAGAGAGAGAGAGAGGGAGATTTAAAATTTGCACAGGTGTGCATTAATTCTCATGTGGACCCACTATTAGAAATATTGTTCTTCTCAATATTATTTATGTATGCTATGTAGTGCTTTTAAACCTCTTGTGGATGCAGGGATTGCAAGATCACACATCCAAATTGTGGGTGTTACGTGCCTATGTTAAAAGTTCTCTGATGGCTAACATTTGTGATGTTTGGCCATTTAACTCACAATGAGCTCATGTTTAATCAGGTAGAAATGGTCTAATTATATGGTTTCAAATATTCAGCTTGAACAGTTAGACACTGTGATGCTGTCAGACCCTCTAAAAGAAACCTAAAACCCTTCTGTCATTGGCTAAATGTTTTGAATTGAGGTTAAATGAATGTTGCTTTTATTAAACATTTGTAGATAATATGTAAGTGGCACTGTTCTGTCATGCAGGAAAATCTCTATTTGTATTTGCCAAGATTCTGTGATAAAGTTGTTCTTTTCAAGTTTATCCGTTTTGTTTTTTAAAAAACTAAACAAATTTATATGGTAAAACTAGTCTTTTCTTTTCAGATCCCTCCAAGTTTTATTTTTCTTTCCTTTTGAACACAGCATATTTAAATTTTCAAAACTACAGAATAATATCAAATGGCAATTATCTCCTAAAACTTCTGCCAGTTAGGGCAAAAGTTAAAGTTGTTCATGTTTTATGGTGCTGACTATTCAAGTAATTTCTTATTTTAGAGCATATCTTTTTATTTCCTTTTTAATTTCCTTTTAAAAATAAACAGGTGTTGCTGCCAGGAGGATAACCCCAGCCCTGTTGTTGTTCAGTCATGATTTCTGGTTTTCACAAGCTTCAGAAAAACACAGCATCATTAATTTTCTTTTCTCTGTATTCTGAACACTACCTCTTTTACATACTTCTAGGTACAAGTGATTAAGCAGGCAGAGAGAATAATTGTTTTCTGTCATCTCTCACTTTTTCCCTCTCTAAAATCTTTGTTAGGGCAATACGTTTCTTATGCCATAATAAATATACTGTGCTAATATGGATTTTGGAAATTTTCTTAAGTTTTTGTGCTGATTTCTCTATCTCGTTCTCCATTGCATGGACAGGCGGAGTCCCCAGATCCCCCGCGGTCCCCCCATCATGTGGAATAACGACTCGAGACAACGTGCTATGGGATTAAATTGGCCACAACTTAATTAAATTTCAAATGTGGGTAGACCTTGGCTCAGGCATTGGGCGTTCTCCCTCCCCAGTCCCCAGCCGGGGACCTAGGGAGCATCAGGGTTATCCAGTGTGTGTGGGGGGGGTGATGGGCCGGCTCTGGAGAACATATGTTCAAGCAGAGATAGCCACCCACGTTACGCCGCCGCCGCAGGGGAGAGCAATTACGACCTTTCGGCGTATGGTCAAAGCCTCCCTTCAGAAAACCCCTTTAACGGGGAACCCTGGTATCGCCACCACAAAGAGGAAGATGGACTAAAGGATTCCGCCCAAGGCCTGATACCGCCAAAGTTGTGACGTTTTGCTACGGGAAAGGCGAAACCTGCCAATGCAGGGAAATTCCTTTCCGGCCCTTTAACAGCGACCTTATGTAGCAGCGCCCGCATACCTGTGAAGAAAAGTTAACCTGCGGAACCTGTGAAGAAAAGTTAACCTGCAAAATAAGACATTAACTGAGGGTGGGTAGGGTGGGAGAAGCTCTGGAGCCAAGTGAGGATTCCCAGGTAAGATCCTCCCTCTATTGTGTGGGCAGGTAATCCCTCCCCTACCTGGCCTGGTCTCCTTGGCAACGCTTCCCCCAGGTGGGATTGGGCAAATGACTGAGGTAGGCGGAGACCTCCAGGTATCCCACCTGAGGGAAGGCAAGGCCAAGCCTATGCTGTTGGAGCCGCTCCAGATCTAGGGCCTGGACGCGTCCACGCAAAGGGCGCCCCCCGTTTTAAGCGGGGAGCGGTCATTATCTTTCACAATTATCTCACTTTATTCCTTTCCTTTCATCTTTTTCTTTCTTTTGCTGTTTTCTTCTCTCTCTGTCTGTTTTTGTTTTTATTTAGATTAGTTTTTTATCTTATTGTTTTATGACAAAGCTTTAATAAAGCATCATTTAAAAAAATATCTCACTTTATAGGACTGCTTTTAGGTCGGCTTCACACCTGACGTGGCAATTGTGTGTATTTAATTATAAATTTAATACCTTCATATACAACCTCTCTTCTCTGTTAGTTACCTAGCTAATTCACAGTATACATGCAAAATAATATTAAGACTAAAAATACGAAAGCAGCCTAGCTACCTTTGAAGGTGACCCGGAAACTACAACTAATCCAGAATGTGACTGGGAGCGGCCGCCAAGACCACATCACACCGGTCTTGAAAGACCTACACTGGCTCCCAGTACATTTCCGAGCACAATTCAAAATGTTGGTGCTGACCTTGAAAGCCCTAAATTGCCTCAGTTCAGTAGACCTGAAGGAGTGTCTCCACCCCCATCGTTCTGAACACGGAGGTCCAGTGCCGAGGGCCTTCTGGTGGTTCCCTCGTTGCGAGAAGTGAAATTACAGGGAACCAGGCAGAGAGCCTTCTCGGTAGTGGCACCCGGCCTGTGGAACGCCCTCCTAACAGATGTCAAAGAGAACAACAACTACCAGACTTTTAGAAGACATCTGAAGGCAGCCCTGTTTAGGGAAGCTTTTAATGTTTGATGCATTGCTGTATTTTAATATTTTGTTGGAAGCCGCCCAGAGTGGCTGGGGAAGCCCAGCCAGATGGTCAGGGTATAAATAGGAAATTATTATTATTATTATTATTATTATTATTATTAGCCACACACAAAGTAACAGTGGTAACATAAAAACTACCAGTACCCCATCTCCAAATGTAAATATAAAGATAAAGGGCCCAGTAACCGACTCTGGGGTTGTGGTGTTCATCTTGCTTTATTGGCCGAGGGAGCTGGCGTACAGTCATGTGGCCAGCATGACTAAGCTGCTTTTGGAGAACCAGAGCAGCACACGGAAACACCGTTTACCTTCCCATCGGAGCGGTACCTATTTATCTACTTGCACTTTGACATGCTTTTGAACTGCTAGGTTGGCAGGAGCAGGGGCCGAGCAACGGGAGCTCACGCCGTCACGGGGATTCGAACCGCCAACCTTCTGATCGGCAAGTCCTAGGCTCTGTGGTTTAGTGCACAGCGCCACCCTCGTCCCGCAATCTCCAAATGTACTGCAGAATAAAAAGGTCTTCATTGCCCTTCCGAAAGATTGACAGGAGATGCCCTGATGTCTCTGCAGGAAGGAAATTCACAGGATGGTCAGTTGGCATTGCAGGAGAAAAGCTCTGCTCCTTCAACTTCCCAACTCGCCTCAAAGGACACGGCAGTGTGGTGGGTTCAGATAGAAAGAAATGCACTGGAATGTAGTCTAGACAAAGCTGATGTGTTTTCTGTAGTCAACAACAACAACAACAACAACATCTGGGATGGCCAGGCATATTTTCCTCAGCATAGAAGACACACGGTGGTGATGGGAAAGTACTTTAGCAGTAGAAGTTTCTATTTACTGTTGTGTTACAAGCCACCTTTTATGGATAAACTCTTTTAAAGATTTGTTGAAAAAGGTCCAATGGTGTCACTGTGGTCTCTCAGAATGGCAATCTGTTGTTCACTGTGAACGGAACTTTAAAAATATTTCCCTAGTTTTTACTGTGAAACATTTGGCAGGAAAGTATATCACATTAAAGCAGTTTGCTGGGAAATTACAGCTATTGGTTTGCTAGATTTGGGTTAAAAGGGAAATTTGAAAGGTGCCAGTGCTTGTAATCTATGTGCCATTATACACCTTGTGCATCGATCCATTCAGGTTGCACAAATTAGAACACTAAGTAGATTGGATGATGGTAAGGATTTTAGTGTGGGTCCTTAAGTATGGGACAGTTGTGGTTGACTGTTTTTGTAATTTACTATCAAATTTGAGTTTTCCTTATGAAGATAATAGCAAGTCCTTTACATTGTGCATGTAAATTTATTGTGTGAATAGTGTGATTGAACTTTAATCTCTGAGATCATTGGTTTGTCAACAGGTGATACTCAGGATCTGTAGCTTCACACATGACCTGGTTGCAATTATTAGAGATGCGGACTTTGTTCTTTAGCTTTGAAGACATATGTATATATGATTTTGTGAACAATTTCTTTTTTGTTTCAGTCATAAATTGTAATATTTGGATTTGTAACTCTCAGATCATTTCATTAAAACAAATCCTTAAGGGAACATGATTAGAAAAATATAGAAATTTGGGATCTGTGAAATTGATCAGACCAAACAGCCATTCTATAAACTTGTCAAATAATATATGGCTTGATTCGTGATTCACTTTGCTTTATTCCCCTGTCTTTAAAATCAGTCTCTTACAGTGCATTCCACCATCAGCCTTTTTCTCAGTTCTTTGCACATACTTTATATGTATAATACTATGGATTCATTAGACTTTTTTCATGTGGAAAATGTAAGTTAAAATTTGTACAACTCCTTCATTTTCAGGGGGTCTTGCCTTTGGGACTCGGTGCAAGTCAATCGGAAAAAGTAGCTGCAACAAATTAATCGTCACCAGCAGTCCAATGATGGTTCAGCGACTGGGACTTCTATCTCCTCCTGCCCAAAAGGTCTCAACGGCATGCAACCAAATCAGCCCTAGCTTACAGAGGGCTGTGAATGCTACCAACTCGAATATACCTCCATCTGATACAAGGTCTTCATTTTATTCTATAGGAATGTTTTCATGTCTATAAAGTCAGAAAAATATTTTACCACTCACTTTAGAGTTATACCTTTTGTGCACAGTTGAAATTTAGAATGAAAGCTGCAGTCTAGGTATTGTAAAGGTAAAGGTAAAGGGACCCCTGACCATTAGGTCCAGTTGTGACCGATTCTGGGGTTGCGGCACTCATCTCGCTTTATTGGCCGAGGGAGCCGGCGTACAGCTTCCGGGTCATGTGGCCAGCATGACTAAGCCGCTTCTGGCGAACCAGAGCAGCGCACGGAAACACCGTTTACCTTCCCGCTGGAGCGGTACCTATTTATCTACTTGCACTTTGACGTGCTTTCGAACTGCTAGGTTGGCAGGAGCAGGGACTGAGCAATGGGAGCTCACCCCGTCGCGGGGATTCGAACCGCTGACCTTCTGATCGGCAAGTCCTAGGCTCTGTGTGGTTTAACCCACAGTGCCACCCGTGTCCCTCTAGGTATTGTAGTTCAATATTATTCCTTTGAGATTAATCACAGGTTGTAGAAGTTATGCAGTACAGTGGTGCCCCGCAAGACGAATGCCTCACAAGATGGAAAACCCGCTAGACGAAAGGGTTTTCCGTTTGCGATGCGCTTCGCAAGACGAATTTCCCTATGGGCTTGCTTCGCAAGACGAAAATGTCTTGCGAGTCTCGCCATTTCCCCCCCCGCTTCCCCCCCTTTTCTAAGCCGCTAAGCCGCTAATAGCCTTTTAGCAGCTCAGCCGCTAAGCCTTTAATAGCCGCTAAGCCACTAAACCGCTAATAGCGCTAATCCGCTTAGCCGCTAATGGGGTTGCTTCACAAGACGAAGAAACCGCTAGACGAAGAGAATCGCGGAACTGATTCTTTTCGTCTTGCGAGGCACCACTGTAATGCCCTAAGAAAAGTATACTATAACATGTGCTATGTAAGTAAACTTCGGCTAACAAATGTCGGCTGTCTAGAACAGTCACAGGTGGTTGCAGCTCTCTTTCAGTGGTGAGCCTGTAGGTGCTTTCTACCCAACTGGTGGGATGGTGCAGCAGCAGCCAAGGCCTGGGAGAGGGGGGAGCCTCTTGCAAGATCTCAGGGGTCACTCCATCTCTGTGGTCCACCAACCTGCTTGTTCACTTTCCTTCCTTCCCTTGGGTGGAGGAAAACAATCTGAGTCCCCTCCCCTCCCCAGTTTATGAGCTCTCACTGGAGCTTGCAGTGGCCACTGGTTAACAAGGTTGGAAATGAATTTTACTAGACTCCTTGGCTGGTTTTGAATAAACATTCACAAACTTTTTATTGATAATTATCAGCTAAATAGTTTGAGGATCTATACAACAGTGTAACATGCAGAAAACAGCATTTTTAGAGAAATCAAAGACTGGAACTGAGGGAAGTTGGGGGGTGGGTGGGTTCTGTGGAGGGAGGGAGGGGAAAAAGGGGGAAATAAGGATGACATGTTTCTGGATAATATGTTTTGTTTTAAGTTTGAATTAAAAAGTAATTAAAAAAAAAGGAAATGAATTTTACATGCAGCTGCAATTAGCCCTGGTTAGTCTCTTGGTCAGTTAGTGGGTTGCACTCACACTCGAGACCCTGATGGGGCTGCCAAAGCAACTGTCACCACAATAGTCAGTAGGTGGTATTCAATGCAGCCTGAGCATCAGGTTGTCTCTACCTGAGTTTCCCTTGATTCTCCAATGTAGCTGCAGCCCCTGACACCTCTCTCAGGCCTTTCCTGAGAACACCATGGCCCTTGGAGGAGATTTGTGAAGGGCACAGAGAGCACAAGGGACTGCAGTAAGGATATGGGGCAATTCTTCTTGTGCAAATATTTGCACTCATGCAGTATTGGACACCACCCATTACTTACTACAGTGGTACCTCAGGTTACATAGACTTTAGGTTACATACGCTTCAGGTTACAGACTCCGCTAACCCAGAAATAGTTCTTCAGGTTAAGAACTTTGCTTCAAGAGAACAGAAATTGTGCTCCGGCGGCATGGCAGCAGCAGGAGGCCCCATTAGCTAAAGTGGTGCTTCAGGTTAAGAACAGTTTCGGGTTAAGAACGGACCTCCGGAACAAATTAAGTACTTAACCTGAGGTACCACTGTAATAGACATACTATGTGTAGTAACTTGGTGTTCAGATTTTGAATATGCAAAAGCAAAGATCAGTTCTAAGAAGGTGATTTTAATTGTCAAAAATAAGCAGATGAGCTCTGAATATTTCAGCTGCTTCATAGAACTACCAAGAGCTAAAATTTAAGTAACTGTTTGCATTCCCTCTCCCTCTTTTCTCCACTGCAGATCCCTTCTGTCCCGAGAATCTTTGGCCTCCACAACCCTGAGTCTGTCTGAAAGTCCATCAATCCAGAGTGTCAAGCAAGAATGGCTTCATGGCTACAGGATTTTTCCCTCTCTTCCTTCCAGCCAAGGCTCCCCAAATGGCACGGACCTTGGGGACATCACAAGTGTTACATCTGGAATGTCCATGTCCAACAATGTTTCTAGCTCATTACCATCTTACTTGTTTGGTGTGGAAAATAATTGCTCTCCTTATCCTAGTCCTCACTATTCTTCAACCAGGTCTCATTCAGCCAAAAAGAGGGCCCTCTCTCTGTCTCCTTTGTCTGATGGAATCGGAATTGACTTCAATACAATCATCCGCACATCCCCCACTTCTCTTGTTGCTTACATCAATGGCTCCAGGGCATCTCCAGCAAACATCTCCCCTCAGCCTGAGGTCTATGGACACTTCTTGGGAATAAGGGGAAGTTGTATTCCTCAGACTTGCTCTATTCCAAATCCTCAAAAAAGACTTCTTGTCGCTAATGGCAATGTTGCCCTTCCAAGTTACAGTGAAAGTGGGAACACTGAATACCAGCGCATGCAACAGTTGGAACAAAACAGCCTACAGCCAACAGTCACTAACAACATGGTGGTTCAACAAGGAATATCTCTGCTAGACAGCCAATCTGTGGGCATTTTAAAAAGTGGGCGTGCCAATGGTTTTTCTGGGAACACAATGGACATGCCACCTACTTCTCCAGTGGCTCCCCTTGTTCTTCCTCCATCCCATGGTCCACCTCCCCCATACCACGCGCATCAGCATGACCTTATAAACCATCCCCACCAGATTTCCTTAGCAGCATCTGTGCAAGGCCCTCTCTTAGACGAAGAAGGCGAACTGGATGAGTTTAATGGCAAGCACTGCTGTTGCTGGATAGATTGCAGTGCTACTTATGACCAGCAGGAAGATCTTGTGCGGCACATAGAAAAAAACCACATAGACCAGAGGAAAGGAGAGGATTTCACTTGTTTTTGGGCTGGGTGCCCTCGGAGATACAAGCCATTTAATGCTCGTTACAAACTACTGATTCACATGAGAGTGCATTCAGGAGAAAAGCCAAACAAATGTACGGTAAGTCTAAAACATGTTACATAGACACAATGGTTTGCTGTATATGAAATATAGCAATTTTTAACACTGTGCTAGGTTCCTCCCCCCTTTTTGGCTAGTACAGCTTGTTCTGAAAAAAAGGGAAACAGAATGCAAGGTTTGTTGATATTAATGAATTAAAAAATAAGTGAATGAATAGACTTTTCATATGCATGCAGAGGCAGAAACAGGAACAGAGGAAGATGCATTATACCAAGTCAGCCTATTGGTCCATGTAGTTTAGCATTGTCTATCCTGACTAGCTGGGTCAGCTTCAGATGGGGTATCAGCCAGGCCTGCCTGGAGATGGTGGAGGACCAGCCTGTAAGTCTTCTGCAAGCAAAGCATGCATTCTTCCGCTGACTGATGGTCCTTCTTCTATTTGAACTTGTTCGAGCTTCAGATACTTCAATGCAGTTAGAACAACTAATCCCTCATTTGCTTATTTTCGTGCTTTTCTACATCTGAGCCTTATTTAGCTGTTAATTCATATTTCCTTTCCCAATAATTTTTATTGTTTTTCATGTAAATACAAGAACAGCATATAAGTATAGTAACTTGTCCAGTGGTACAGTCTTACTAAGTTTCATATGCAATACACAATATGCAAGCAACGCGTTTATTTATGCAATATCAATTTAAGTCTCCTCTCCACAAAGATTCTAGTGTTGGGGGTGGAATAAAAGGATCCACTGTCTCATTTATAAAGGAAAAGAAAGGAAGTCAAGTCTCACGAAAAGTGTTTCTCCTTTCTGTTGTGGTGAGTAAGGTATTCCGATAGAGCCTCATTCCAAATATTATTTAACCAGATTTCAATGGGGATTTCTGTAGATGGTTTCCAGTATCACTGGAGCAGTCCAAACCCACAAAAAATTGAATTTGTATGTAAGGAGTGACTTCTGAGTTTCCTGATCATGCCAGTAGGCATTTTCCCAGGGCAGGAGCACAGATAGCTGCACGGGCACCTTGTTTTTTATTCCCTGCCCCACCTAGGAAGTGTGCAAAATCACAAAGCCAGGCAATTATAAATTTGTTTGTGCAGTATTCTGGTGCATACATAAACACAAACAAACAGATACATATCTAAACACCATTCAGCAGCATGCTGTAAACAGAGCACAGATGGAAAAGAAATTAAAGTAACTGTAAATTCTCAGTACAAACTTTTCAGACTGCTGAAATACATTGTGTGGAAACTACAACTAATCCAGAATGCAGCAGCTAGACTGGTGACTTGGAGTGGCTGCTGGACCATATAACTGGTCCTAAAGGATCTGCACTGGCTCCCAGTATGTTTCTGAGCAAAATTCAAAGTGTTGGTGTTGACCTTTAAAGTCCTAATCTGTCTCAGCCCTGTATACCTGAAAGAGTCTCTCCACTCCCATTGAGGTCAAACTCTGAGGGTCTTCTGGCAGTTTATTTACACACCCTCCCAACAGATGTCAAGGAGATATATAACTAGACAACTTTTAGAAGACATCTGAAGGCAGCACTGTATCGGGAAGTTTTTTATGTTTAATGTTTTATTATGTTTTTATATGTGTTGGAAGCCACCCATAGTGGCTGGGCAACCCAGTCAGATGAGCAGGGTACAAATAATAAAATTATTATTATTATTACCTGTGGGACCTGTGATCAGCTGAGGGTCTCTTGGCATGCATTCCCTCCATATTTGGTAAATTTCATGGGTTTACACCACCCACCAAACACCAGTTTACCAAACACCAGTGCCTATATATGTGCAAAGAAGTTCTTGAGTTCATTGCGCATTGGTCTGCAGCCTTGGCATATACTGAAACTAAATTACTGTTGAGTACTAATGAGATTTATGGTCTATATATCTTAAATTGTTTTATGAAGAGAATATGATGCTAGTAGGAAAAAGACTTGTTGTGCTAGAAAATAAGCATTTGAAACACAGTCACAGTGAATGCTGGTATAATATAAAAAGTTGGCTTGGAGTAAGTATAACAGTAGGGACACGGGTGGCGCTGTGGGTTAAACCACTGAGCCTAGGGCTTGTCGATCATAAGGTTGGCGGTTCGAATTCCTGTGATGGGGTGAGCTCCCGTTGCTCGATCCCTGCTCCTGCCAACCTAGCAGTTCGAAAGCACGTCAAAGTGCAAGTAGATAAATAGGTACCGCTCCGGCGGGAAGGTAAACAGCGTTTGTGTGCGCTGCTCTGGTTCGCCAGAAGCGGCTTAGTCATGCTGGCCACATGACCCGGAAGCTGTACGCCGGCTCCCTTGGCCTGCCTGTAAAGCGAGATGAGCGCCGCAACCCCAGAGTCGGCCACGACTGGACCTAATGGTCAGGGGTCCCTTTACCTTTAAGTATAACAGTGACTGTGAAACCAGCTGCAGACACAGAAATTGAATTATCTAATATTTTGGGTGGTTAAATGGGATTGCATATACTGCCCTACTAAAGCAACCTACCAATTCTAAACAAACCTAGCAAAGTTAAAAAAATATCTGAAACCTAAATCAAGTTTCGAAAGAGAAAATTAGAGACTCTAATTTTAGGTGAGAAATACACAGGAGATATGTCATAAAATATGTTCAGTAGTGATTGTACTGTCTCATTAGAAATGTGCTTATTCTCAATAAATAGCGGACGAATAGTAGAATTGTTGTTGTTTAGTCGTTTAGTTGTGTCCGACTCTTTGTGACCCCATGGACCAGAGCACGCCAGGCACTCCTGTCTTCCACTGCCTCCCCCAGTTTGGTCAAACTCATGTTGGTAGCTTCGAGAATATTGTCCAAACATCTCGTCCTCTGTCATCCCCTTCTCCTTGTGCCCTTCACCTTTCCCAGCATCAGGGCCTTTTCCGGGGAGTCTTCTCTTCTCATGAGGTGGCCAAAGTATTGGAGCCTCAGCTTCAGGATCTGTCCTTCCAGTGAGCACTCAGGGCTGATTTCCTTAAGAATGGATAGGTTTGATTTTCTTGCAGTCCATGGGACTCAAGTATAGAATCTAGTGGGGCTCAAGTATAGAATTGATCTGGCTGTATTTTGGGGGGAAAGATCTCAGCCCTTTGTAAACCTAATGGTGAAATGATGATGTAGCAAATGAAAGCCAACCTTAGCGGAGGATTTGCAACACTGCAGGGTTTTGTTTTGCCCTAAAACCACATCTATTTTACATTAGAATGGAGTTTAAAAAAAAAATTCTGTAGTGCATCTTTTTCCCTCACCCCATAGAGTCTCTCTAGGCAAATGATGTTTTGATATCATTGCAGGACAAGGCTGCCAGTTTTTCTTTGGCAGGCCTCTTGTGTGCTTGATAACTGCCTGTCAGACGGAACTATTCCCATCTCTTCTCCATGCCATGAAATACTTCATTTGCTAAGTCTTTGACTGCTGTTAAAAGCTGAGAAGCTCTGCCAGGAGGGAAATAGTTGGCAAATCTCCAGCAATGAGTAAAACATAAGGGGGCACACACAATGCATATTTATCCAATGGAGGGAACGCTATTCAAAATACTGTGTATTAGCAGAGATTAAGTTTTAAATCAGCACCAGTGCTTCTCAGCCAGGGTCCATAAGCTCTGAGTCAGTGACCTAGACAGATGGAATAAAGCAATGAAATATGCTTATCTATAACTGTATGCATGCTTATTTACAGCCACACGCTAATGTATATAGTGTGGAAATACATGAGACCTGGGATTGTTCGTAACTACACTGAAAGCAGTAAGATTTAAGTTACTCTGATTAAGGACGAAATTGATCCACTGGTTTCAGTGGAAACTGATTATTTTGCAGGTGTTCATACCTAAGAATAATGTGTGTGCGCGCGCATGTGCTCGCAACATCATGGCAGCAGCCTCTGCCCTGCCCCCAACCTATACACAGTCACTAGATGTCTATAGGGAACCTGTGTGTGCACAACTATTTGTATAGAGGACTCTGCACATGACTGGAAGTCCTGACTTTGCAGGATTCTTGACCATGTAGAGAACTGCCACATACACTGGCGGAGGAAGAGGAGTGCAGGGGGAGCGAACCGCCTCCGATGGCGTGATCCCGGTGGGGTGCCATCACGGCTGTCCCCCCGCCCCCGAGACGCACACCAGTCCTGCCCCGCCCCGCCTGCTCTCCACACCCCAGTGTCGGAGCTTGAAGCTTTGCCACTGGCCACAAATACGTGTTGGGGTTGCCTTTGTATATTCTTCTAATAACCCTTTATAGGATGGAGGATGAAGGTGATCTCCCTGCATCTCTACATTTACTGTTCACAGTTCTGGATGCCTGAAAATGTCACGGCCAACTTTAGCTGTATTGTGACCTTCCTTTTTAACAAAAAATGGGGCTACAAACTTTCCTGGTGCACTTTACATTGTAGAACACCTACAATGTAGTCCTTTTAGCATGACTGGCATGTTAGTAAATATTGTTATCAAATTTCAGCCATTTAGTTGTCTTTCTGAAAACAACAACCCAGGAAAGCTAACTGAATCTTATAAATGGGTTGCCAATGTTAATGTATTGTTGTAGGGGGGCAAATATCGCATGCAGTTTTTCAATAAAAAACCAGTCTAAAGATCAGTATCTTTCTTCTGTTTCCACTTAAAGAGACAATTGTAATTAAGCGGGATATAAATTGTCAAAACAAATAAATACCAAGTGGCTTTATTTTGGGACACTACCATCCTGACATACATCTGAATCTGGTTTGGGATCTAATAATATACTCTCTGGGACGCGGGTGGCGCTGTGGGTAAAACCTCAGCGCCTAGGACTTGCCGATCGCATGGTCGGCGGTTCGAATCCCCGCGGCTGGGTGCGCTCCTGTTGCTCGGTCCCAGCGCCTGCCAACCTAGCAGTTCGAAAGCACCCCCGGGTGCAAGTAGATAAATAGGGGGGGAAGGTAAACGGCGTTTCCGTGTGCGGCTCTGGCTCGCCAGAGCAGTGATGTCACGCTGGCCACGTGACCCGGAAGTGGCTGCGGACAGCGCTGGCTCCCGGCCTCTAGAGTGAG